AGCTGTCGCCCTCGGAGCCGTGAGCCGCCCTGCTGCTTCTGGCCGAAGGAGAGTCGCTCGACCCGGCCTGGCTCTGGCTCCCGGCTTGGATCTCCTCAATGAACAGCTCCCGGCGGATGCGAGACCTAGGAGACAGGGGAGAGGGATGTGAGTCTGCCAGGAGCCACGGGAAGCCACTCACCACCATCAGTGAGGCCACTCAAAATGCCCTTTCATGGAATCATCGAATCATTCAGGCTGGAAAGACCTTCACGCTCATCAAGTCCAACCTTCAACCAAGTACCACCATGTCAACTAAACCACAGCACCTACTGCTACGTTGACTTGTTTCTTGAACACTTCCAGGGATGGTGACTCCACCATTTCCCTGGTGGGAAAAGAATTCATGTTTTTCCTAAAAAATATGAATACATTTCAAGTAGATCCAGAAGAAAATGGATTGTAAATACAAAACAATTCAGATATCTACTAGAAATGAGCTGGTTTGACTAAACAAAAAATAAATCAGGAAGAAAATGTGGACAACCTCCTTGGTGTTCTCCTGGAGAGCAAGGAGAAATGAAGATGAAACCAAGTGTTGTGCTGAAAGCCCTGTGAGGGAGCCCAGCCTGTGACAGGCTGCCAGTCTATGAGCTGGTCTGACTCCTGCCTTATTTTTCTTTAAAACATCAGTTTCAGAACATGAATAGTGACAAGCCAAGCAGAGCATTTCATGGGGATGAGTGCACTCCAGAAGTGCCCAGTGTGCCACCTTGCCCCTCCTATTGATCTGTGCAAGAACACCCCAAACACACCACCTCTGCCATATCACTTGGGCCTTTCTCCCTCTTCCTTCTCTGTCTGGAGCTCCCAATCTCCTCACAAGTACAGAACAGCTGATGAAAAAACCTTAGGCCTGGGCTAACCCTTTCTCTGTCCTGTTCCATCCACGGAGAGAGGTGATGAACACCACTCAGGTCCTCATCTACAAGAAGAGGGAGCCTCAACGACCTGAGCTCAGGGACAAGACTTATAGGCACAGCCAGAGTTTTCCAAGACTTCAACTTTCTGTGTGAAGACACCACTTTTGGTTTCAGCCATGGGGAATATCTAAGAGCCTTGCAGCTCACAAGAGAAATGCCTTCCCAATGCTGATGGCTGCAGAGATTTTCCATTTTTCCTTAAATGTGCTATGGAAGACAGCACACAATGGAACGGCATTAGGCTAAATGCACAGCATCACCTGAATCCTGCATCTGAGGCTAATGATATTATTGACTTACTTGAAATGCAACAGAGTATTTCAGCAATCCTTGCTGACTCCACACTTTTCAAGGATTTAGGGGGTCTGTAATTTTCCCTAGGAGAATATTATTCACCTAACAGAAGACCACAGGTGCTAACATTAATTTTCTATTACCATTAACTCCATGCATCCTGCAACATCGATTATCAGGCTCTGTTTCTGCCTATAATCTCCCTGCATGGACATTGATCCAGAACACTCCATTAACTCATCCTGCAACATCGATTATCAGGCTCCGTTTCTGCCTATAATCTCCCTGCACGGACATTGATCCAGAACATGCTGCTTCTGTAACATTCCCTAAGTCAGGAGAGGAAATGGATAAAAGGTTTGTGTCCTATGGTATTTAAACCACCTCAGCTCCAGCAAGATACTGAACAGTGACATCCTCACCGAGTCTCTGACCACACATCCTGCAACATCGATTATCAGGCTCCGTTTCTGCCTATAATCTCCCTGCACGGACATTGATCCAGAACATGCTGCTTCTGTAACATTCCCTAAGTCAGGAGAGGAAATGGATAAAAGGTTTGTGTCCTATGGTATTTAAACCACCTCAGCTCCAGCAAGATACTGAACAGTGACATCCTCACCGAGTCTCTGACCACAGCCCTACAATATCAGCTCCTTGTCTGTGGAAATCCTTGGAATTCACACCCAATATATTGCTTTTGGAATCCAGTCTGGCTCCTGATTAACAGTAATTAAATCCCTATGGTAAAGAAGAACTGACGACAGCAGCTAGAAAATTCCAGAGAGCATTCCTCTTGGTGGAAGGTGTTGGCCTTGACATGCACACACCCTGTTGGCATTCCTCAGTGTAACTCAAAACATCAGAGACCTCTTGGGGTGTTTGCTGCAGTTCCCTGGACAAACCTTCACACAACATCAACACAAGCACAACGTCGAGTTCATTGACAAATATGCTCAGAATTTAGGATCCAAGAGTGCTGCTAGATTACAGTGCCAGAAAGTCTGGTTTAATTCCTGATGTGTCTGTAGTATCATCTTTGTGACTTTATTGAGTTTATGTACCAGTTACCACAGGTGAAATGAGATAGAAATCCCTACCTCCTACTCTTTTGTACCAAGACAACAGAGCCTCAAACTCTGCTGTGTCCTCTATGTGCTTCCCTCATGCAATGTAAGGTATATTCTTTTATATTCTGACAGCTATGTGACTGGTATGGATGCAAAGCCATAGATCTGCAGAAGTTTGCAGACATGTCAAAATTCCTTATACCTACTTATATTCTGACCTGGAGAAGATGAAGAGGGGAAAGACTACCCATTTCTTACAATACCTGAGCTGCAGAATAGTCAGACCCTGCTCCCCTGACAGCACAGTAACCTGTACCTCTTCTGCAGCGTCCTACAAATGATTTAAGAGTACTTCACGCATGAAAGTTAAGCAAGTTATTGTACAGAGGAAAAGAACAGGCATGTGTTTTGATTTTTTCAGTGGTGGCAACTGTTCAGAGCACCCAGGGCTTGAAACAGCTCTTAAAAGACCTGAAGCCTCAGCAGCACATCTGGGAGCAGGTCCAGATCACTCAGCACTGGGGCTGTGCTGCCCACCAGCCTCCAGCACCTTGTTTGTAGGGTTTTTATTTTGTATACAGCTGTCAGCACCTAGTCTGCATTAACGTGCAGCTTGGTGTGGCTAAACAGGCTGATCAATCAGGACTTGTCACGCTTTCTCGCCGCACGCCTAGGCAGGAGATCTCATGATAATGAGGGAGATGACACATGCCACCAGTGCTCCGGCACTCGTCTGCCTAAGTGAGAACAGCACATTTTGCTGTCAGGCCGAAGGGAACATATTTTCATAGGCATTCCTCCAACTTGTGTATAATTGCCTAGAAGTGGGAATTGGAAGAGGCCTGTGTTTGGAGAACTCTGGGCGGGGAAAGAGGCTGCATCTGTACCCAATTCGAGTCAATGAAATGCAGTGTAAATATGATTACTTGTTGGTTCTAATTTTTAGATTTTTATATTGTTTACTGTAAACATTTTTTAAGCATTGTGCATAACATTTCGGAGATATCTCATTAAACTGTGTTGCTTCTGCTACAGCAACTTCCCTGGTGAAAGCTGAGAAGGGCCAAAGTGAAAAAAATACCCTTTAAATGTTAGCAGTTTCTAAAAACAAACAAGTTTAGCAATCTGGACTAATTAGGCACATTACTGGCTCCGAGTGAAGGAGCAGAATAGTATTAAATCTGGTAGCTTAACTGTACCTGTTCAATATTCATTAGCACAAATTTCTTGGAGAAAAGTCTGCTGCACTAATTAAGATTCCCAATCCCAAGCACAGTTGATAATATGTTTATTCAAATCCTTATATGCTATTCCAGTGCTGTTTCTTTTTATCAGTGTCTCTAGGCCAAAACCTACTTCAGTGGTTCAAACGTGGAGAAGATTCCTTCTAAAACAAGAAGGGAACTG